ATGCTTTCTATAGGTTTACCTTACACACCAACCCTTTTCCTCTACCCTTTCTTTTTTCTGCAACACACTCTTTGGCTACTAAAGTTTGATCCACAATCTGCCTACCTTCCACAAAAGCACCCTGGAATGGTGAAATGATCGATGGTAGTACTTTTTTGATCATTTCTGAAAGAGCCTTTGCAATAATTTTATATACACTCCCAACAAGACTAATTGGTCTATAATCTGTAGGGGTTTTGGCCTCCCTCCTCTTCGGGATTAAAGTGATAAAAGTGGCATTCACCCCTCGAGGCACCTCTTTTGTGAAAGAATTCATTGAGCACTTCTAGAATATCAGTTTTCAACCAGTCCCAACATTCTTGATAAAAGGTCATTGAAAATCCATCCGGCCTGGGGGCTTTTGATCTTTCCATGGAGAAGATTGCATTTTTAATTTCTTCCAAAGTGAAGTTCCTCTCCAACACCTGAGACTGCTCTTCTGAGAGCCTATCCCCTTCCATTTCTGGTAGCCTTGTTGTCACCCCGCTTGAGCTTGTGAAGATTTCCTTTAAATGGTTGACAAAGATTCTTGTGATCTCTTGACTCTCTCTAACTTCTTGACCCCCCTCCTTCACACTAAAAATAAAATTTTCTTTCTCCTTCTGTTTGCAATTGCATGGAAAAACTTAGTATTACCATCTCCTTCAACAATCAATTGACATCGTGACTTCTGTCTCCAACATATTTCCTCCTTCCTTAAAATCTCTTCCAATTATTGCTTGATTTTCCATCGATCCTCTCTCTCTTTTTCTGATAACCTTCTTATTGCCTCTTTCTTGTCTAGGTCCTAGATCTTTCTCACTATATTATCTTTTATTTCCTCTACCCTCCCAAAATGCCCTTTGTTCCACTCTTTTATTTTCCTTTTTATCCTCTTTAATTTCCATGCAAAGCCTAACATTTTCATACTCCCCAAAGGTCTGAGTTCTTGCCACCTATCCTTCAACCTGGTTTTAAATGAGTGATCCTCAAACCACATGTTTTCGAATCTGAATGGAGTCGGGCCTCCCCCCGGAATTTCCTTCTCAATGGAGATGGGGCAATGATCTGAGGTAACCCTAGGTAGCCCTTTTACTACTATTGAGCCCCACAATTCTTCCCAGTCGGGAGTAATGAGAAATCTATCCAGTTTGGAACAGGTTGGGGGGGGATTGAAAATTTGACCATGTATAGTCCACCCTTAACATCAAAGGTTCATTCAATTCAAGGGAATCGATCAAATTATTAAACTTCCTCATGCTGGTAATGATTCCTTGGTTCGGCTTGTTTGTTTCTCCCAAAAATCTGATAACATTGAAGTCACCTCCCACACACCATGGTCCCTCCCAAATTCCTCTAATAGCACTTAACTCCTCCCAAAAGGCCTCCCTGTCTTTATAGGAGTTAGGACCATATACATTTGTTACCACCCATTCACACCCATTTGAGGATCTTCTAATTTTTAAGGAGACTGAGTATCTACCAATCAATTCCTCCACACATTCCATTTCCTCATTTCTCCAAATGGTCAAAATCCCTCTTGAGGCTCCCCATGATGGGGCATATGATCAGCTTAGGCCCCTGGATCAGAACCAGATTTGGTCTTTCTTTTCTGAGAGTGTTCTTGATTATCCTCCTCTTTTTGGCACTTCCAAGGCCTCTTACATTCCAGCTATCTATCTTCATTTCAACCTACTTAAGACCCCTTATCAATGGTTGCCTATTGTTCCCCTCTTTTTATTTTTAGGCTCCTCGCTTCCTTCTTCTCATAATTAATTCCGCACTTAAGCTTCTCTAGCTCACTTTGCTTTCTTCTTCTTGCTTTCCTTTCTTCCTTAAATATACTTTACTTCCTTCACTCTTCCTTTCCACTCTTCCGTTTCCTTCTGACTCTTCTTTATCCTCTTGATTCAGCCTCCTAGCATCCACCTGGCTTAAGGTTCGGGATACTGACTTTGGTTGGGTGATGGGATGGTTCACTCTATATTCAACCTTCTCCACTCCTAGGGCCGGGTCCAATAGGTTAATTAGGGACCAGATTCTAGCTCTCTCTTGTTCTAAGCTATTGTCCGAAAGGTTCTTGGAATCTTGAGCTGTGGCATAGTCCGTTAGAGTATTCAAGGGAGGAATGGCATTGGTTGTACCTGCGCAGTTCGATAAACATAGTTTAGAGAGGTGTATACCCGGACTCACAGACTGAAAAGGTGAAAACAGAGAAACGGGGTTAGGGACTCCCTGTGCCAGCAAGTCTGAATCCTTCCCTTTATCAATACCTTCTAATTCGGAAACCTTGGCAGGCAAGTCTGATATAAATATCATAGGTACAACTTAAAACTTCTTGTTGATGGATTCCAAAGGGTATTGATGTTGAAAGTGAATAAGGGGAAAAGTTGTGTAACAGGAATTAATGAGGGAGAACAAGATACTCGGGTGGTGGTAGAAATACTAGGTGGTGAGGTTAGGAGTTGGCCCCTAGAGTATCTTAGTGTGTCATTGGGCCGGTAACCCTAGAGCAGAAAGCTTTTGGAAACCGGTAGTAGAAAGGTTCACAAAAATATTAGCTTTTTTTGAAGAGGAGCTGCATATATATGGGAGGAAGAATTACTCTGATTAGATCCACCTTAGCCAACTTGTCTACTTACTTCCTATCCATCTTTAGAATACCGGTCAGGATGCAAAGATTTTGGAAAACATTATGAGAGATCCTTGTGGGAACCGAGTGATGAAAGAAGAGATCATCTTATCAAATGGGAACAGATATTCATACCTAAAGAAATGGGAGGGCTTGGTATTGGAAATTTGACAAAAAAGTAATACAGATTTGCTAGGAAAATGGATTTGGAGGTTTCCTCTAGAAAGAGATATATCGTGGCACAAGGTCATTGGAAGCATTCATGGTATGGTAGAAAATGGATGGGATGCAAAATTGTCTACTCATGTTTCTTCAAAATCCCCTTGGAAAGCAATAATAGAGGTATTACCAACATTTCTTAGTTTTACTCGCTTTGATGTGGGCAATGGGGAAAGAGTTTTATTCTAGGAGGATCTTTGGATTGGGGATATGGCACTTAAACTACAATTTCCCTTACTCTTCTCTTTATCCAATTACAAAGCTAAACCTGTCTCACATTTTTGGGGTACCCTAGGAACTTGGTCTAAATTGGATTTAGAAGGGGTCTGAGAGATAATTTGTACGAATCCCTTTTTCTCTTACTGTCAAATCTAGAAAATGTTTTTTTGGACCCTACCTCTCCAGATGGAAGAGTTTGGTTTCCCTCTCCTGATGGCCTTTTTTCTTGTGCTTCCTTTTTTAACCTTCTTGTCTTGTCAGACCCGTTGGGGGAAAATTTCCCAGTAAAAGAAATCTGGTGCAGACCTATCCTCCTAAGGTACAAGCTTTGTGTTGGGAAGTGCCTTTCTCTTGCTACAAAAAAGAAGGCCAAATAAGTGCCTTTCTCCTCATGTGTGTATCTGTGCAAGGAAAGTGGTGACACCCTCCTTCATTTACTATTTGCTTGCCCCTTTCTGTCTTGTATTTGGAAATATGTCTGATCTCTCTTTGCAGATGGAACACCCCCTCCTCCAATTACTTAGGCAACAGAAGAAGAGAGGCAGAGTTATTTGGAGGACAGCAAGAGTAGCGTTGGTTTGGACTGTTTGGGAAGAAAGAAATCACAGAATCTTTAATGGGAAGAGTGCACATTGGGTAAAAGCTATGGATCTTTTTGAGAATTCTCAACAAATGACATAATAAGATCTTGGACTGAAGTGGCACAAACAGTTAGACATGCAGAAAGTGTAAGAATGGTTGGGAAACCTCCATCTATTAACAAGCTAAAGTTGAACTTTGATGGTAGCTCGTTGGGTAATCAAGGAAGGGCAAGAATAGGAGGTGTTTTTAGAAACCACCAAGGAGTGGTGTTGGCCCTGTTTTCAGGACCAATTGCTTTTGGAGATTCAGTCCTGGCTGAAGTTATGGCTCTCGTACATGAATTGAGGCTTGCAGTACATCTCGGAGTAAGGGAATTGGAAGTTAAGGAGATTCATAGTTAGTAATCTCCTGGTCCAAGAATTTCAGATCGTCTCCTTGGAAATACAGACATGCTTTCAGGAAAATTGACCCCCTAGCAAAGAGATTCAATTCTACTTTTTGCTGGATAAGGACAGCAAATGGGTTGGCAGATGTTCTGGCAAAGCAAGGAGTTAACAGACCTAGTTTGTTTTGGGCAAAGTTGTAACCTGCTGTACTTTGGGCTATTGGGAACCTTTTAGTTTTTTTTTTTTGGAATTCTTTGTAACTGCAGTTTGAAAGCTTTTAGGGATGACTTCCCTGTCATCAAATTGTACTCAATATTGCTTAATTAATTCTAATAAAATAATTTACCTTTTGCTGATAAAAAAAAACCACAGGCACAACCTAGTCAACAACAAATTCAATGTTAATTCATCAAAGCATAGTAATAAACCATGTGAGCCTAGGGCCTTTAAAGATACAAGTTTGTATGTGGCATTATACTGATGGATTTTTTATCATTTAAGGTGGGTTTAAATACCAGCTCAGAACTCTGGATAGATACTTTACAATGAAAATATTTATCTTATTGAAATACAACTTTTGTTTCTTCCTTTTCTCTTACTGGATAAGCATGTTAGGTTCTCACCTGACCTTAAGAAAAATAAAGGCATAAAGCAGAACTTTTCATAATTAAGTTCTCTAGGTGGTTACAAAATTCTCTATTATTCTCTTCTACTTGTTCTCAGTGAGAAGACGATTTAGATATGTTCAAAGTTAATCCTTGCAGTTGTTGAGTATTGAAGGATGACCAAGTAACCAATGTTTTCTCTTCTTGCTTAATGGTTTTAATGGGAACTTCTTACCATTTGCAATCTTGAAATATATTATTTATAAATTTGAAACTTGAACATTCAATTTTGTTACATTTAATTGATCTATCTGATCTTATTCTTTTTGTAACTGAAAGGTGGAAGAATTGGAGAAGGAGATCCTAGACTCTAAAGAGAAGATGGAATTCTACCGCAGTAAGATGCAGGAACTGGTGAGTGGTTTTCTTTTATTTTCCATAACCACACTGCTTTTTATTGATTTGCACTCTCTATTAGATTCTGTATTGTTGCTTTGTTTTCAAATAATCAGTTCATGTTTTGACGAATAATAATAAATTTATTAATTCAGAAACTGATTTAGAGTTGTGAATTCATACAACATCCCAGGGAGAGGCGTGGGCTGCAGCCCCTCCTTGAATCTTACAAGTAAACTAGGAAAGAAATACAGGAATCACAGCTGAGCCCAAAACAATTCTTCCCTATTTACCCCTTGCTTGGCTAACACATCTGAAAGTATTTGCTGATCTCCCCACCCACTGTACAGTGACCAACATATTCCTTGTTAACCAACTGAATTTCTTCATTTCATTCTTGCAGCGCAATATAGCATCTTCAGGATTTTTTAAACAACCCACCACCACTTTGGAATCCCCTTCGATTATTAGGTGCTGTACCCCCAGTTGGTTTGCAAAGTGAACCCCTTGTACAGCAGCTAATAGCTCTGCCCTGATAGAGTCCCCAACCCCACATAATCAGTTCATGTTCTGCATGAAGTCCTCTGCAAAGTCATTTGTTGATAGATATGAAGTCTTCAATGCAGTGATTTAAAAGTGCAAGGTGCAAAAAAAGCGCAAGGGCATTTTGCCTTTCAAAGCAAGGCGCAAAAAATGTAAAAAATGCCAAAAAATAAAAAAAGCAAAATATTAAAAATATTAAACATAATATCTTAATTAAAAACATAAATTTAAATTTTAAAATAAGTTTTTTTTTTTAAACTATCATCTCAAATTAAAATACATAAACAGAACATGTGAAACATATTTAAAATGAAAATTTAAAAATAAAAGTAAGCTTAACATATAAAACATATTCAAGCACGTAAAACTCTTGATCTCTTTATTTTTTCCTCCAATTGCATTACTTCAAATAGCTAATGTGGTATTAAACATTATGCATTCCTTATTCTACAAGCTCCTCAAGGATTCTAAATTACTAGTGGAAAGAAATTGTTATATTTTTCTGTATTCTAGGTGTCTAGGATAACCAGTTTACATTCTGTTGCCACCTGGGCTATATCTGTACTGATTACCTTTCATACACCCTGATTGAAGTTCAAAATGCTTACTCTTACTAATTTTTTTAAATGATTTTGATTTGGTATTAGGTTTTATATAAAAGCAGATGTGACAATAGACTTAATGAAATTACTGAGAGGGCTTCTGCTGATAAACGTGAGGTATCTCACTTTGATGCATGGATCGTAAATTTATCATTTATTAATTTTTATTCTGCTTATTAACTTATTGGGAGCACTATTGACTCAGGTTGAGTCACTAGCAAAGAAATATGAAGAGAAGTACAAGCAAGTAGGAGATGTAGCAAGTAAATTAACCATTGAACAGGCTACATTTCGTGACATTCAGGTAACCATAAGCCAATCAGCCTCTTTTGTTGATTGATGATCAGGAAACCATCCTTTCTGTTTGTGCATCTAAATATCTTAATCACTTGTTACAATGATTTTGTTATCAGTAATAATAAAAAAGTTTTATTAATTAGTTGAAAAAATGGAATACACATTTAATTATGCCAACTGCCTTTTTTAGGGTAGAAATTGTTCCAAATGCCAAGCACCCCCTTTTGTTGGCTAGCGCTTGCTATCCATGCCTATTGGAAGCCTGCCCCATATGGTGTTCCCTTAAACTTTTTACAACTAGTTCCCTCTGGGAGCCACCCCCCAAAACAATTGTTCACTATTAACACATTGTCTTGCCAAAGCAACAGCCTTGCTGTTGCAGATCTGTAAGTCCAACAGAAAGTAGCATTTAACTGAATAGCTAATTTCTTTACTTTCCCTCAATAGATTTCTGTGTCCTGAATGTTATATTCTTGAACCAACTCACCACTGGTTTTTTTTTTTTTGGTCAGCAAAAAATCTTTCATTAATAACAGAGAAATTAGGATACAATAGATAATGATTGCAGAGGAATAAACTGCAATCTCCAGCAATCAGTTACAATTATGCTCAATACAATGAAGATCTATTTGCCCCTTGTTTTGCTAGGGTATCCGCCATCCCATTTGCATCCCTTTTGACCCAACCAAACTGAGAGTTGAACTTCCTCGCAAGTGTGTCAATTTCTTTGAAAGTAAATTTGAGCTTCCAAGGTATTGATGCGATGTTTTTGGCCCAAGAGGTGACCAATAGTGAGTCTCCTTCAATTTCTAAGTCTGTTGTTTCTATCTGCTCAGCCATCTTTAGACCTTGAAGTAGGGCTAGAGATTCAGCCTGTATTGAGTCACCATAACCTATTGATCCTGAGTAGAGTGCCACCACCACACCCAGATGATTTCTAAACACACCCCCAATGCTTGCCCTTCCAGGGTTGCCAAGAGAACTCCCATCAAAGTTCAGTTTTAGTTTGTTCAGTGCTGGTGGCTTCCATTCCATGCTTATAAGAACTTTGGGTACATCTGTTTGTGCTACTTCAGCCCAATTTCTTAGAATCTCATTCGTGGAGTAGTTTCTGAATATCTCCATGGTCTTCACCCAATGTACAGTTCTGATTTTTATGGCTTCAATAACTTCCTCCTTTGTTTTGCTTTTTCCTGAAAAGATTCTTAGGTTTCTTTCTTCCCATATAGTCCATACTGTAGCTGCTCTCACTGCCTTCCATATGCATTTTCCCCTTTTCTTCTGTTGACACAGGAAAGAGGGGCTGAATAGACTTACCACATCTTGTGGGGGAGCCCATCTACATCCAAAGAGAGAACAAACAACATTCCAAATACCAGAAGCAAAAGAGCAGGATAATA